TGTGTGTGTGTGTGTTTGTGTGTGTGTGTGTTTTTGTGTTTGTGTGTGTGTGTGTGTTTGTGTGTGTGTGTGTTTTTGTGTTTGTGTGTGTGTGTGTTTGTGTGTGTGTGTGTGTTCAGTGTGTGTTTGTTTGTTTGTGTGTACTTCCTGTCTGTCTGTCTGTCTGTCTGTCTGTCTGTCTGTTTGTCTCTGTCTCTCCGTCTGTGTCAGTCTCTGTGTCTGTCCGTCTGTCTCTGTTTGTCTCTGTATCTGTCTCTGTTTGTCTGTTTTTGTGCGTGTGGGTGGGTTTTTTCCTATGCGTGACGGGTGACGATTCTTGAGCGCGCGATAGGTGCATTAATGCAGCTGTTCCGACTTGCATCGCAGCAGTTGTTCCGAATGAAAGTTTGGACGACAGGGAAGGGAATAACCAAGACACAACATCACGAAAAATTGCCATTTCCTGAACTCAGAGCACCATCATTTCAGTTGCGATGAACACACCATCCGTGTCAGGGGCGGACAGGGCCATCGACATGGCAGGTCCGGCGGTGGTTCGGAACTCATCACCTCATCTGCAGTGGCCCGATCCAGCAAGTTCGCCGGGACTGCATCGTCGGCTTTCCAGGGCATCATGGAGGCTTTGCGGCCCAATTCTTTGGAGGAAACAGGGTAGAACACATTCGCTTGATCATGGTCGGTCTCCTGGTGGCTGCTGCTAAGCTGCTAGGAGCTCCATGCTTCCATTGCCAACGCAGGCAACTGTCCGAGTCCATGATTCAGCACATGCCAGTTGTTTCGTGAGTCGCTTTTCTGATTTGCGTGCTTAGTCATCCGTGGAACTGTCCATGTCTTGCCATTACTTGGCCGGGGTGCCTCGATGCCTCATTCCGGAACGTGGGCAACACACCAAGGACGGTAAGCCCCATATAATGATCGTACAGGTCGTTTGAAGCAACAGATGCATTGACATAGTTTGCACAACGGCCGGAAAGAAATCTGTCGCAAGACCTGAGAAGGCAACCCCAACAACATCTGCCCAATCTCTACAAGAAGGAGAAAATATAAGCGACAAAACACAGGCAGAGTCGAGCCGATCTGCTGCTGCAAATTTAATTAAGGCGAAATTCTGTCTCCTGTGTTGACTCCCTCCAGCAGCCGAAAGAGCACCGTTGAAAGCTTGAGTAAGACCTGCCCTAGGGCCTAGATGGAACCCCATTTCTTAGAGGTCACGACACCGTCGGTGACTTTAGTCCTTGGCCACTGGGGGTTGAGGCATATGTTTGGGCTACACAGGAGTTATCAGAGACTCCTACAACTTACAACGGGTTCGCCCTAGGCATGCGGGAGGGAAACAAGATCCTTGCATTGTTTTGCTGTTTCAGCCTGCATGGCGAAGCTGGTTCGAGGAGAACCAGTGCAGGCAATGGAAAACAGAAGCAAACCGTGCCAACTGTTTTAAAGCGCCCGGCGGGGACAATGAAATGCAGCGTTAGCACTGGTTTGTAGGTGTTCAAGAGTTGTTCCATGTCTTCCATTTGCATAAAGTGCTGTCATTGTTTGGAAACGGGTCTACACTCGGGTAAAGTGTATTCTTGCGGATTGACGCGTGTTAGGTCCGGTTGGTGAGTGGCACCGTGTCGAGCTTTTCGTAGTTAACTGGGACTCAGCACCCTCGAAACCCTCTCTCGTCAGTTGTGCTCGTTAAATCTGCACCCGCGGCAACGAATCATACGCAACAAACAGTTACCAGAAACTCGCCTTTACCGCGACCCATCCAACAGATGACCCCAATCAATGGGCGGAGTTCGCATGCGCAGTTGGCAGACCGTCTGAATTTTCGGTACTGGGCACCAGGCAAGCAAAAGCGTCTACCCTCCATCGTCCGTCAGCTTGAAGAGTTCGTTCAGCAGCAGCAGATTTGTCAGGCCAGCCGGAGGAGCAGTTGAACATGCAAGTGAGAAGAGTGGAATCCGTGTGCATATCAGGAGCGATGTGTTTTACGACTCCGTGAAAGGGCATCGCACGAGGCAGCAAGAGCTTGTTCCCAACGATATGGCAAACCCGTGGGCATATGGTTTGAGGCAGGCCTAGTTCCTTCGGGCAACCTGCCAGGCAAGTATTTGCTAGAACGTTTGTGTTTACCAGAGTTTACCACCGTGTCCTTAGCAACAGGATCTTCAAGACCAAGCACCTCAACTGGTGACTCGCAGGAGGATCAGTGCCGTGCAGGGACAGCACGTCATGCATGCCTTCGATTTTGTCGGCTGTGTGTCCAGTGAAGGACGATGCTCGAACCTTTGTTGAATCCTCATGACTGGCGGCATGGTACTGCAAGCAAAGCTGCAGTTGGTGCCGTGCACATAGTTCGAGGTCAGCCGTGCAGTCCATCAGCGCTTTGCCGCCTTGGATGGGCAGTGTTCCGCCTTGTGCGGCAGAAGGCGCTGACCATCGCGCATTTCCGCATGTCATCCCACTCCTGGTTGTGCAGTGCTGCGAAGGTTGGCTCATTTGGTTGTGGGCTGCACACTGAGTTCAATTGGCCGAACTCGCCAAAACAACTTGATACTATAAAGGGGTATCGCAATAAGGTTCTGCAGCGTGAGTGCTGCATGCTGTATGCCGAGACTGCCGTGAATCTGAAATGGAGAAAGGGCATTGCCCAAATCGACCACTGCAACCACTTTGCCCTGCATCACTTCCAAAAAGTTGTCGCCATGGCAAAGCCAGCTGCGACTGCGATCTTCCCGAAGCGACAGTTCGTCGCCCTCCCATTTCTCAGTAGCCTCCTCGACTTGTCTGGCTGGATGCAGGGCGTGCAGCAGCAGGTAGCTCTGATCAGCGTGACACAGCATGCTACACAAGATATCATGGTTCCTCACAAACGGACTACAGTTGGCAGAGTGCTGGATGGGCCGGATGTAGGCATGTTGCAGCATGGGCGGCAGTGCGCAGCTGGTAGAAATCCAAGTCAGAGATGCCTTGGCAGTAACGCATTGTACAGCATGGCAGCCGACAGCCTCAAAGTCCCGGTCTGAAGCTCCCTCCAAGGGCGAACTGCAGCACCACTTGCTTGGCCTCCACGACATCAGCTTGCATGTGGCTTGCATTGTTGGTGTCACTCGCACATGCTGCGCGTTTTCATTTTTCTGGAGGCTCGAAAGCGTGCAAGTGTCCTAGCAGCGGCGAAGGCCGAGGTTTCTGGCCATGTTCGGGTCTCGGTGGGGTTTGCAGCACGTGCTGGAAGGCACATCAACAAGTTCCTGTGCCACGCCGAAGGTCCAGGCCACTTGACTTGGTTGGATTTGGTCGGACTCGCAGTCGATTGCGCCATGTGCCATCAGCCTGCCATGGACCACGGCTGTCTCATCGGTGGATTCTACAACAGATTTAGGTCCAGTCCTCCGAAACATGCCCGTTATGGGTTGAGGTGCACCTCGGAACCTACCTTGCGTTGACCTTTGTGTACGAAATCAGATGCCAATAAAGGTTTGCACTTCTTGCTCCGCTTGCCCAAACCCAAGACACACCAGGAAAAGTGCTGAGCCTGCTGTCTTGCTGTCCGAGCTACGATATCCAATTGGACGGCCAACGCAGAGAAGGTTATTCTCAAATGCAGGCTGTTCCTTAGAAAGCTATGTTTGAACAGACGCACGTTTGGACGGTTCGATACAGGCGTCTGCGTTGTCCAAGATGTACACCCGAGATTTCTCTAAAGATCCTTTGCTTGTGTTTTTGTTTCTCTCTACCTCTCTCCCTCTCTCTTTCTCTCCCTCCTGGGTTCTTGTTAACGACCATAAATTATGTTCGGCTTGTCGCCTCCCATACAGGCCGAAACCAGAGTTTGCATTGTTTGTCGAACGGCTGAGCTGGTGATGGCGGCATGTCGGGTGTTGAAGGGGTGCGTGGGGGTCGGGGTACCGGAGCCAGCGAGCTTCATGAGCAAGCATCATGAGCATCAGCCGGTTTCGGGCCAAGCCAGACGGCTCAAAAACCATGTCGCCGCTTTTAGATAACAAGTGGCAAAATTAAGATGTAGTTTCGTGGTTTTCCCTCGGAATTCTTGGAGATAAGGTACGGGCCCCTACGTCAGCCGGACCCATCTACACCCTATGCCATAGACCCCGCCCCCCCCCTAAACACTTGTGCTATTGCGCGTGTCGAAACACTAAACAGACTCCTGGTGACCCTCCGGGCGCTTACGGTGCCGTTCATGGCAGCGGGGGTCTTTAATCTGAACTTGGACACTATAGGACAAACCACTTTGGCGGAGGCTTCGTACGGTGCTCTCTTCGATCGGGGCCCAGGGGACCACGTGCAGCACCGCTGCAACGAAGAATCACGGTCGACACAGACTCCGATGTGCGCCTCTGCAGATTTGTTGGCATGCCGGACAGATGTCCGCGGTGAGACCCAAGCAGAAGGCGTCCTTCTCTGGGGTCCTGGCCCCACATGTGACTGCCATGTCACAGGTGGACAGAGCTAATTGGTGGATGGCTGATTACTTCTGGAAGTTGGAAGGCTCAGAGCGTGGCCCAGGTTGGAACCTAGGTTCGGTACGGCGGTCCCTGAACCCCCAGCAGGCGATGGGTGTGCACTGGTGTGGACGCCGGGCGGGTTACTGGAATCGGATTGGAGCCTGGTTGTTGTGGCGTGTGAAGCTAAGCATGATTTACTTCTTCTGGGCCCTGCAGCGATACATGTGACGTGTCAGAACAAGCATGATTTACTCTGAGCTCCCGCTGCTGCAACACACGCGCGACATGGAAAACTAGAAGGACACACATGCGCACGACATGGAAAAATACGAAGACACACATGCTCATGTCTGCTTCTCTATTGGATTAAACCGCCAGTTGATATCGAATGATAACTTCGCGATTGTCTCGTATGTGTACGTACTTGTACTTTGTCTAAAGGCTCCCGGTTAGCAGAATGAGATTTCATACCTACATATACATCTACTCTATATATATATGCACCTTATTTCAACTTGAGTCGCAACAAACAAAAATCTGTATGCCCTATGATGCTAGTACGGTAAAATGTTACTTGATGCTTGACAAGTAGAATGTATTCATATAATATATTGATTGCAATTGCTCGGACACTGTCACTATACATTCACACCAGCCACACACTCAGTACACCTTCAGTACGTGTTGACACCATAATACATACAACATAATCCAGAGCAAACTCGGCGACTAATCAATCAGCCTTCATGTAGCAGAAGCAAGACCTCCCCTAAGGACCTACTATCTCACCAATATCTACTGAGCCTAGTACAAAACTAACAAGTATTAATGCATGTTTGGTCAGTTCATGTCGAAAATATTCATTAGCCCTTAGGTCCGTCGTGTTTGAAGATATGGACCCTAACAGATGTAATATCTTTTTCATTTCTGGGGATATTTGGCATCGTTCATATCAGTGCAGAAGGGATAACAGTATCTACAAAAGGAGCGAAGCATCGTCTGCTGCTTAAGCGCGGAGACATAACACATGAAGTATACAACCTCAAGATTAGGTGCTTGTACAATCATCTGCTTTCGTGAAATAGCCTTCAAAATGATTGGTGGTATCCGACTAGCTGTCACACACGTGCTATTTGCATTGCCTGAAAAGTTTCCTACGACCGGTGCAATATCAGTTACCTACGGTTGGTCTATGCTGGTCTTGTTCCTGGGTTTCAGCTACATGTGCATTCCGCGATGGTTGCCTGGAGAATTAAAACTACCAGTGATGGATATTGCTGGATCTACGGTAATATTGTTGCACTTTGGCCATATAACGATGGTTTCCCTGTTAATCGTACAGAAGAACAAGAGTACAATAGCAATACATAAATGCGACATACATGTTATATATTAGTTGCATTAAGTGCTAGGCCAGGATTGATTCCGCATTCACATAAAGTTAGTTATATCGCTGTTAAAGTACACGTACACTACTTCAAATATCACGTGAGTAGCAACTGAAGAGGTGTTTGTGGTTGAGAAATGCTGAACGAGCTATGCTATGTGCATTCGATGCCTACATGGGATGAAGATAATACTTGATATTGCCACCTGGATTCGCATTTCTTATTAATGGTCTGCATTGATGGTGTTGCCTTCCCATTAGAAGATATATCGGGGTTTTCGATTCATACAGTCCGCAAGCATTCAACACATCTACTCGTTTTACAGCCAAGAGGGGCCTACCGGGTTTCCCCTCCCCAGAGAGGGAAACCAGGTAGGCCACCGAGTCTCTGTTTTAAAGCCCTTGTTTCAAAACAGGCATTGCCTTAGCAAGTTTGTAAAATACGCTTTTAGTTTTAAAATATCTTATGGGAACTTTAAGCGGTAGAAGAGGCTAAAAACAAGTTCTCGTGCTAAACAAAACAAAAAACAAAAAGCCAAAAAGAAACAAAAAGCAAAAACACCACCGACCCCGTATCACCGGGTGGCTCCGAAGCTATGGAGTTGTTTTTTTTGTTTTTTTAGTTTTTGTGGCTTGTTTGGTTAGGATTTGTTAAGGTAGGCAGCACTGCTTAGCATTTCGTTCTGTTCTTCTTGTAGATGGCAAGATGACTGTGATCAAAAACCTGGGCCTTGTGTTAGAACAGTTGCGCGGGAAGGCAGTTATTAGATTAAATGTAGAAGTTTTGATGTCGCTTACCGCTTTCATGATAGGATTGTTGTGGCTGCTATCGGTATTGTTACTTTGGGTCCTTTACAAACTACTGCATTATACACGCCACGTTACACACCACAACAGTCCTTTCTGTATTACTACGAATACTAATACTAGCACAAAACTAATGATAATACTATCAATACTACAAATATTAAGGTTACTACTCATAAGACTAGCAATACCAAGATTTAACCTAAGAACAAACTAAGTCAAGATTAAGATAAACGCTATCATTAACATTCAGATTGAGAACAAGACTAAGACGAAGATTAGGGAAAAGCAAAAGACTAAGACTACGAGGTACAGGTATGTTCAACCAAAGTTGCATGTATGTTCTGTGTGCGCCTACCCAAGCAAATCTTTACATGCAGCAGCATGGTATCTGAGAGTCGCATGCAAGAGGAGAGCGAAGATACGTCATCATGCGTAACATAATCTCACGATAAGTATAAACATAAGCACTTGACCCTGTTATTTGCCACTCCGACAAGACGCGCCGAGATTGTAGATAGTGTCCATGAACACGAAATACATCGACATTTACGTGGTTTCGGCTTCCGTCTGTAGCTACACAGAGACACGATCACATGGTCGAGGTTGGTCCTAGGGGGGTTAATTACCCTTAGCATGATGGAAGAATGCTTGACACAGCGTTTTGGAACTGTACAGTTGATGAAACCTGTTCTATATTCTGGTAGCAGCTTTGCTTTGTGTACGCACAAATTCAGACTCGAAGCACTCCCTGATGGATGCTTGGCCAGGGGCCTTCAGCTTAGGGACGGGGGCCCTTGAGGGCCAATGAACACAGTATCATAACACACTTCGCTCGAGTGTTTGAGTTGCGCCTTGGTTTTGGTGCTTCGGTCCGTTTTGCATGTAACCGAGCTGGGGGCTTTTGGTCCGAAATGCATATCTGACTTGCGGGGTTGTGATTGCACCCCCGATCCTCAATGTTGTGTACCGTCAGAAATCAGTACCGCAATCTTCCTGACATGCAAAGACTCTGTCCGCATGTCTTTCGCGGCAGTGCGCCGGCCGGCAACGGCCAAGCACGAGCTTATGTTTGCATAGCGCACGTCAAGATCTGTTTGGTCCGGATCAGACTTGCATCCGACTATCAAACGCACGTGGGACAAAAATTTTGTCTCGGGCAGAGCAGGTGGTGAACGCACAAATGAATCTTATGGCATCAGACTTTAAGCCGCCTGAACAGCTTCGCAAATTTGGCGATGCAAATAGCGTTCTGCATGGCATGTAGACTTGAAGTTATTCGACTTGTATCCCTGCAGACCTACTGGCAGCTCCGGTGGCTTGGAAGCACGGGATGGACTACGCGGAGTACCAAAATGTCATGCCGGACCACAGGTCCGCAGCTCCGCCGCTTCCCGTGCGGACATGCCGTGATATCAATGCCAGGAGAGGCATTCAAAGTGGGAAGTCAATGAAGCTCGGCTCGGATTTGTTGCACCAGCGACGAGTTGCTGCAAGTTCGTGGTTGTCCGTTCCGAGACATTGCTTGGCTCTGGCAATACATTTTACAGGCAAAACATAGTTGACCACGCTTGAGCCTAGCTTGAGCCATGGAGGAGGCAGCCAAAAGAGCACGACTAGCTGGTCAGAGCCTAGCAGGTTCTAGCGAGAGCTTGAGGAACAAGGCCCTGGAGGCCTTCAAGAAGCACTTGGTGGAGAAGCGAGCACTGATCGAAGAGGCAAATGCCCAGGACAAGGCAGAGGCCGAAGTTGCAGTTAAAGCAGGCAAACTCTCCAGTTCGCTGTTCAAGCGTCTGGACGTGAGTGGCACGAAGTTTGACACTCTGTTGAAGGGGATTGATGAGATCTTCAGTTTGCCAGACCCGATTGGCCAGGTGACGTATGCAAACAAGGTTGCTGAAGGTTTGGACTTATACCGGCTGACTTGTCCGATCGGAGTTCTCCTCATCATTTTTGAAGCTCGACCTGATGCCGCTGTTCAGATCGCATCTCTGGCCATGAAGTCAGGCAATGCCTTGCTCCTCAAAGGTGGCAAGGAGGCGCAACGATCCAATGCAGCTCTTGTGACCGCAATGTCTGCAGCTTTGCAGGATGTCGGCCTTCCTGCAGATTGCATTCAAGGGGTCGACACCCGCACAGAAGTAGCCGAGCTTCTAAAGCAGGACAAGTACATCGACTTGGTCATTCCAAGAGGTTCCAACGAGCTGGTCAGGTCTATCAAGGATGCCTCTCGCATTCCCGTTCTGGGCCACGCAGATGGAATCTGTGCCGTTTATGTCGACAGCAAGGCTGACTTGGACAAAGCCGTGAAAATCGTCGTCGACTCCAAGACGCAGTACTGTGCGGCGTGCAACTCCATGGAGACACTTTTAGTGCATGAAGATGTGTGCACATCTTTTTTGCCCAAGCTCGCAGCAGCATTGGAAGGAAAGGACGATGTGCACTACAAGGCAGACGCGACATGTTTGCCCCATCTGCCGGCAGCCATTTCCGAGCCGGTGCAGGAAGATGACTTTGATACCGAATTCCTGTGTCATACTATGGCTGTCAAGGCAGTCGCTTCCGTCCAGGAAGCGGTCGACCACATCAACAGCCACAGCTCTGGGCACACAGAGAGCATCGTCACAGAAGACCCCATGATTGCCGAAACCTTCCTCAGCCGGATTGACTCCGCGGGTGTCTACCACAACTGCTCGACGCGATTTGCCGATGGCTTCCGCTATGGATTTGGAGCAGAGGTAGGCATATCCACTAATCGAATCCATGCACGAGGTCCCGTCGGCCTTGAGGGTTTAGTGATACACAAATACCGGATGTATGGAGCTGGCCACACTGTCGCAGGATTCTCAGGTGCAACTCCCGAGCATGCATTCGTGCATGCACATGTGCCCGGGGTGGCACGCGTCGACGACATCCCACAGGCAAAGAAAGCCAGAAGATAGAGGCGTAGGAGAGCTCGGAAGACTTGTACAGAGTAGCTTCTTGCGATTGTGAGCTGGAGTGCTTGCAGTGCCTCGCAACGCACTCGTGGAAAGAGTCCAGCCGTGGACCTGCACAGCGTATAAACATCGGCAACCCGCTGGGTTCACGAACGCCTAAGCTTTCCAATCTTCCTCTTCCCGTGAGCTTCAGGACGTCCCCCGAACACCCATGTAGCACCTTTTCATGGCCTGAGGACCATCCTTTCCTCCCGGCGAGGCTTGTCGTCACTTCGAGCGTGCCTCTTAGCGTAATACACTGCATGTTCGCATGACCACTGCCTGCTGTCATGCCTTTCAAATCCCGAACATGGAGTGAACGTGAGAAAGCTTCGAAAGAATCTGCCGCTTTGTATTCTTCGGCCTTGGTTCCTACATACAAGGACCAGCGATGCTTCGGAGCTCCTTTGCCAGCTGGAAGGATTTAGTTCGTGCTCGCGAAAGGTGGCAGCAGCAGGTGCCTTTGTTTAGTAGGGTTTCTGGTATTCCTCCATCGCTGCGTGCCCATTTTTTAACAGGCACAGCTGCTCGCGCATTCTGTCTTCAGCGCTGCAGGCTCAGATTTGTCAGGGATTGTAGGGCTGTGTCGAGGTATTCAGCTGTTCTCACTAGCGAGTTGCGCCTTGGCAGTGAGTATCTTGACGTAAGGGCTGGCAGCACATTGCTTCCTGGTCACATCGCAAACGGAAATCCTCAGAGGCACACCGTGCATTGGACATTGCTCGCATTAGCAGCTTTAGATGGGTAAGATGAGTTTGACAAATCGAGGCAATCACGTGAGATGGATTCTTTCACAGAAGGAAGTGGAGGGAGGAAACCTTGTCAGAGAAAGAGCACTGAGTTTCAAACTCGTTCCATTTGCCCCAGTGGCCAGTGCTGCGGCAGAGAAGCCGCCAGGGGCAGAGACAGCCGGTGCAGGGTGGGCAGACATCAAGCTCCTCGCGAAAGCCATGCGCAAGTCCCTGAGAGAAGTACTGGAGGTCTGGGGAGCCCGCAAGCTGGAGCTCCAGTGATGGGACCAGCTCCAGGCAAAGTTTCACTGCACAGACGGGGGGCATCCTTCCCCCCCAATGGCACCACGATTTGGCACCTGGAGAAGGTGGGCGGGCTCTCGGCGCAAGATGCGCTGGACCTCGCCAACGACTTCACGGGGGACGCCTTCTTGGAAGGGTGCAACTGGGCCGTCATGCATGGCAAGAACGAGGGGGACTGGAGAGGCACAGCGTTCTTGTACAGACACCAGTGCATGAAGACACACAACTCCTACCCGCAGGAACGGCAACCACCCTTGCGGATCTGCGAGGCACCAGGGGCGGAGTCCCACGATGCGCACAGCCAGGGTGGTCTTGGGCTTTGATGCCAACGAGGCCTTCACAGAGCACACACAGGGAGCCGCAGCACAACATGGCCTAAAAAAGCCCACCCACAGGACCTTAACGTACCCAGCTACCGCCCCTACGTCGCGGCGCACAGGCCGAGGCGGTTGGACTAAGCATGCCACAGACCAACGGAGTGCGACAGGGATCCCCAGACAGTCCCATCCTGTTCGGCATGGTTGCAGATTGAGGCAGATCTCCAGGAGGCTGTGGTCGAGATAGTGCAGCCACGCTGGTCTCCGCTTTGGTGGTCGACGCTCCCTCTCTGGGGTGGGGTGGTAGTGGATGGTGTGGCTCTTCCCCGTCTTCGCCGGCTTCCTCCTCGGTGTGCTGTGGTTTGAACCAATGCTATACCATCATTTGCCAGGGTCGCTCCCCACTGCTCGTCGATGGTTGGCACAACTCTCTCTCTCTCTCTCTCTCTCTCTCTCTCTCTCTCTCTCGCTCGCTTCTTATCCTGGGCATCGGGGACTGGAACCCCCCGGTTCTCTGCTTTGCTTTGCAAGGAGTTTGGGAAACCGGTTGAGCCGCCGCCCCCCTGCACGCAATTCAGCTACGCCTGTGTCCCTGAGTCTTTTTTAACAGCAAACGAGACTGCTGCAGCCGATGAGTAAGTGAAAGCACGTGTTGCGAATGGAGCAGTTAGCCGTTTGTCTCGGTCATTGCTGAGTGTGTTTGCTGTACTGGCCTAGCGAGCTCCTGGAAGGGTCCTCGTCCTGAGCTTCGGTGTGGTGCCCGTCCCCTGCATGGCTGCTGTCGTGGTGAACTGTGGCAGTGTGCTGCGGGACTTGGGTGGCTGCTGCGCTGCTCTGGGTGTGGCTGCTCCCAGTCTCTGCGGTGGTTGGGTGGCTTGCGAGTCGATGCGGCAGCGTTCTGCCCCATTTGTTGCGGTTAGGTGGTGGGAGCGGGTGGTTGGGGCTGATGCTCTCATTGGTCGGGGGGATGGATGGGCCTTTCTTGTTCGGGGTACGTCGTTGTGTCGTGGGAGGGTTGTGGTAACACCAGTGTAACACCCATGCAGACACTGGCCCAGACGCAGGCCCCCATGCAACCAGGTTGCATGCCACAGCCACAGCCGCCAGCTGATCCGGCAGACCGAACACCCAAAGATACGTGGGGGTGCTGTGCCCCACCCTACGACCCAGACACCGACCCCTTCGCAACCGTGCCCTTTGCCACGACCCCAAGCTGCCACGCCAACCCACAACCAGCCGTTGGGCAACCCCCAGCGAGGTGGTGGGCCGTGTGTGTCTGCACGCCCTGTGGCATCTGCGTCGGAGCTGCGAAGGAGTGTGGGGGTGGGAGAACGTCCGGCTGCGGTCTGTCTGTGCTATGGGTTGTGGCTGTTTCGTTGGTTGGGCTGCCGCGGTTGTTGCGGTGGCGGGTCCCACGTCGGAGAACCTGGGAGTGGTGCGGGGCTACCCTGGCCCCCCTTACGGTGCGTGTGTTCCATTGCTCCCATGTCTCCCGCAGGCGTCGGCTGGATGCATCACGCGGCGAATGTGGCCAAGCTGCATGCTGCGGATGGCTTTCAGGATGCCGGTCCTCCCCACAGCGCCACCCCCCTGACCGGCTTTGCAAGCTCTGTGGTGCATTTCGCTGATGATCGCTGCAACCCCTTCTTCGAAGGTGATCGGAGACCCCAGCGCCGTGATGATCTCTCCAAAAGGCAAGCAGGCCACCTCCGCTGAGCTGATGTGAAAGGTTCCCCCCCCTTCTGTGTATGATCGCCGTCTTGGCTGGGTTGATGAGGAGCGCGTGTTGTGACAGTTGACCGAGAAGGAAAACCGCTTCCACTCCGAATTAACGCCTTCGAGATCGCAGCACTCACGGTGGGCGTCATGGAGGAGAGTGCCCAAGCAGGGGACCCTCCATCAACAGTGGAGCTCCTCGAACTGCTCGAACTTGTCCAAGCAGGGATGGTGCTCCTCACCAGGGGGAGACGCAGCTACAACTGGCAAGTGACGGTGGCCACAGCGACGGACGGGTCGGGGGAGCTTGCAAACACGCGTCCAGGGGGGATCACGCGTGACCTCCCGCGCCTCCGCAACCTGCTCGACGAAGCCGCCACGGGAGTGAGGGTCCTTGTGGGAATCTACCCACACCGGGGGGAAGCAGAAAACGTGCACCCTGCGGACACGATTGGGCTACAACGGGGAGATGAAGAACAAGAACAACATTCGCAGGGACAACGTCAACAACCCGATGCAGTACATGTCTCCATGGCGCAGAAATATCTTCGTCGGCTTCTTCCCTTCATTGCCGGGGGGACATGAAGCAGATGGGGGACCAAGCCCTCCAGCACCTCAATGCTTGGACAAGAGCGCCCATTGGGGGGAAGGAGTGCAACTGGTCAGCAGCGACGACGAAAACACTCCAGAGCAGCCGGGACAAGCCCACCCACCACAGCTCTCTGGGGGGCATGTGGAACAACATCAACCTCCACTACAACCACCGGGGGCGGCCAGTGCCTCGAGCCCGAACACAAGACCAAGAACGAGAAGCACTGAGCGGGACTATGTGAGGGGGCCGCGTATGCCTGACGACAGAAGCAAGGGGTTCACTAGCCCCAGCTCCATGGACAATGATGATTAGGTGGCTCCTTCTGCTTATGTGCTGTTTTCTTTTTTGATCTGAGCAGGGGGTGACCCTCAGAGAGACCTGACTGGCGCAAGGGAAACCTTCTATATCGGGGTTTTTAACCTCTGTTTTTGCTTCCCTGCACGTCTTCAGTACTATTTGGCGCCGGTCTGAGTCGGAAGTGGCGTAGTTCAGGCTCCAGGGATGGGGTGGGAAGGCCCAGGCAGGGTGACGCAAGGTTCTGTTCGGGATGAGGTGGGGAGGTAGGTGAGGTCGGTTTATGCGGAGAACTTCCACGTTTGTCTGTTTGGCCGGGGAGTGGAGCTCCCTACCGGCAAGAAGGAGCAGCCGATTGAAGCATGAGTTTGTTGGCAGTCTGTCGAGTGGTAAGTGCAGTTTGCGTGAGTGTTGTAAATCCAAGGCTAGTCCTCCGTGTAGTTGCAGTTACGAGACACTCGGATGACCTCGGTGGTGCTTACAAGGTCTTTTGTGGTCATGGTCTTAGGAGGGGTGTCTGTTCGGGTCGGGGGTTGAAAAGCACATCGAGGGGAACGACATGTGTCCACCCCGAAAGGGGCCACGAGTACGTACCATCGCGGACCGAGGGGGTAAGCCTCCGGGCCAGGGGACCCCGTCCCCATATCCCAAGCAAGCAAGCAAGCAAGCAAGCAAGCAAGCAAGCAAGAGAGAGTTGTGACACAGGCGTAGCGCGAACACTGCTTCCTAGGAAATGATTGCAAGGGAGGTAGGGGGCGAAATGATTGCGAAATGCCACAATCACTTCCAGCCCCCAAGAATGATTGCAGAGGGCCACACGGGTCGTCTTCCAATGTGACGCATTCGATGTAAAATGATTGCCATCCTCTTCGGGGGTTCCCAAGGAAATAATGATTGCAACGGGGAGGGCTAAGCCTCCTGAGTGGGACCTGATGTAGCGCTGGTGAGCGCAGGGTGAGGGGTCATTGTGCCCCTGAGCCCAAACGCCCTTCAAGCAAGCAAGCAAGCAAGAGAGTTGTGATGGGCCCGTACTGAGAGGAATGGCGTGTTATATGATCCTTTGTAATTCAGACCGCAGGGGAGATATGCGAGCGGTTCAGGGGCCCTACAGAGTGCAAAGCGTCTGAGACGTGTTGTCTACTTGCAATTGACATGTTATACCTGCGGTCGTCGGAGAGCCAAAGCTGGGGAAGTCTCTTTCCCGGCATGCCTCTCATCATTTTCATAGCATGTTGCGGTCTCTTTGCCGGCCGCCTGCCCTTTGCAACGACCTGTAAAGATCGAGAGAGTTGTGATGAGTGCCTTGTCACAAGCCTTCGAAAGCCTGGCGCTCGACGCGCCTTATCGAGCTGGGATGACCCATGCCAGGCATGCTCTCTGCCACAATTGTCATGGCCTTAGCCAGAAAAGCCCGCTCTGATCGTGATCGAAATCCAACATGCTTCATCGGTCTTCATCGTACACGCTGTCAGTCTGTGAGTCCTTGGGATCGGATGAAGCATTGCTTCACATCTGAGCTGCAACCCCGTTTTATTATTACCTACGTTTTTGCATTGATCCTTTGCTTGTTCTAGCCGATCTCCCGTGTGTCTGTGACTCTGTCGAAGAACAAACGAAAGCTACATGCAGTTTCCGGGACCAGCCCACAAGTCTTCAGAGGCATGCAGTGGTTGCCCCCTCAGTATGCATCCCGTTTCGCTGCTGCTGTGCTCCGAGATCTTTTGCGCATTAGGAGCAAGGGGAGCG